CTCCTCCTCCTCCTCCTCCTCCTCCTCCTCCTCCTCCTCCTCCTCCTCCTCCTCCTCCTCCCCTTCTACCCCTTCTCCTCCTGCTCATTCCCCCTTCCGATGACGTAGGAATATGCGGGCGAAGCCCTGCAACAACAGGTTGGCCATCTGGGGGTCAAGGTCTTCTATCACACCGCTGCCGGCGGGTAGAACTCTTCAACGCAACAGGAAGGGATGGGTGGGTGAGGTGGGATGACAGATGTGTCGCGAGAGTACCTAGCTACCTAGCTTGCCCTTTCCCCGCCTCCCCTATCCTTCTCGTCCGCCCCTCTTCCTCTCCCCGTTCGTCCCTCTCCTCGTGTCCCTCGTTTCCCGCAGTGCCGTTCCCAGCGCTCCGCGCCGCCCGTCGCGCCCCCGCTTCCGTGCGCTGGGCTGCCCGGGACTCAGGACCGGGCCCCCTTTCGCTGGGGAGGGCGGCGGCAAAATCCAGGGTGCCCCCCTCGGCTCTCGGGGCAGGAGCCTCGCAGCAGGACGGCGCGCAGACTGCTGCGATGCCAAGTCCGACCGACCGCCTCCTCTGTTAATTACACCTCCTCCGCCCTCCGCGGCGGTCAGGAGGGCGTCTTCGCGAGCTCCATGGCCACGCTGCTCGCGCTGGTGTCCGCGGTGTGCGTGTTCTGCGGAGTGCTGTTTTTCCGCAGGCAGGCGCCCGTGGGGGGGGGGGGGGGGCGTAGAGCACCTCTGGAGACCGACTCGAGCCTCGGGCCTGCATGCATTTGCCACGCGAGGGCTTCTTAGAAGCACCCTTGCTTCTCAGAAGGCGCGGGCTTTCTCTGCAGATGTAAGGCCGTCGCCTTCTCAGAAGCAGTCTCCTTCTAAGAAGCCCTCCCCCCTCCCTCCACCCCGTTCTGCGCGCCGCCAAATGCACACCCGTCCGAAGCAGACCTGGCGGCGATCTCTTCGCAACCAGGGCGGGCCTTCAAGGGCCGCGCCTCGGCGCGGCGACGTTCCACGGGCCCGCGCGGACCCCCCACCAGAGGGACGGGATCGAAGATGGAGGGCCGAGGCTGGTGGACGCTCGTGGCCCCCCTTGGGGCCCCCGGGGGCCTCCGGAGGCTTTTGGAGACGTCTGGGACCCCTCAGAGACCTGGCCCTGTAGAGAGGAGGGGGGGAGGAGGAGGAGGAGGAGGAGGAGGAGTAGGGAGGAGGAGGAGGAGGAGGAGGAGGAGGAGGAGGAGGGAGGAGGAGAGAGGAGGAGGAGGAGGAGGAGGAGGAGGAGGAGGAGGAGGAGGAGCAGTTCTTGTTGTGTTCTCTCCCGGTATATCCTGTGTGGGTTCTGCTTATGAGTGCGTCACTTGTGCCTCCTCCTCACTCACCCGGCTCCCTCGCAAACGCATGCTCAGCTCAGCTCAGTTATATTCAGATTTACCCATATTCGGCCTCATTCATACCCAGACTCACACACAGACTCACTCAGACTCAGGCTCACTGATTAATTATCAGCCTCAGCCGCACTCATACTCAAGCCCAGACTCGCCCATACTCAGACTGCTTGTATTCAGACCACGCACGCTCAGATTCACTGGTACTCAGGCCCACTCATATTCAGTCCCATTCATATTTGGACCACTCACACTCAGATCAACTCATACTCGGCTTAGTCATACTCGGACTTACGCACACACGCCGCTCACACTCTGATCAGTCACACTCAGGCTCGCTCTTATTCAGACTCCCCCTTTAGTCGTGCCCACCCTGTCTCTCACACTCAGACCCACTCATACTCGCTCCTCACACTCAGACTCACCAGTGATCATCGTGATGTAGCAGGCGTGGCATTCGGGCGCCAGAATGACGAGCTGCCAGAGGATAGGACACTTACCCCTTCGCGAACAGATTGTGGGGATGTCTTGAGCGAGGCTCACGTGTGGCATCGCCGACTCCTCTTCTTTGTGAGCGCGCGGTGATCATCGCAATGCAGCAGGCGTGGCAACAACTTGGGTAGGACATTTGCCCGTTCACTGCCAGACTGTGGAGATGTCTCGAGCCAGACGCTCGTTTGGCGCCGCTGGCTCCTTTTGCCTGAGAGCCCCGTGATCACCGCGGTGCTGTAGGCGTGGCAGTTGGGCGTCCCAAGGGGTAGCCGCCAGGGGGCAGGACACTCACCCCTGTGCGGCCAGCTTCTTGAGCGAGGCGCTCGTTTGCCGTCGCCGATCCTTCTGCTTTGAGAGAGCCCCGTGCCCACTGCGGAGTGGCAGGCGTGGCGCTTCGGCATTGCAAGGGGGAGCCGCCAGGGGGTAGGATACTTTGCCTGTTCAGATTGTGGGGATGCCTCGAGCGAGGCGCTCGTTTGGCGTCAACGGCTCCTCTTTGAGAGCCCCGTGATCACCGCGGTGTAGCAGGCGTGGCATTTGAGCACTCCAAGGAGGACCTGTTCGCAGCCAGATTGTGGGGATGCCTCGAGCGAAATGCTGGTTTTCGCACCCCCGACTCGCTTCAGAGTCCCAAGGTCAACCCGATGTAGCACGCATCGATAATCCTGGGTCGAGGGTTGCCCCCCCCCGATGGGATGGGTCCCAGTGTTCCACAGCCCCCACCCCCAGATGGGATGGGGGGGAGGCAACGACGACGACGACGACGACGACGACGACGACGACGACGACGACGACGACGACGACGACAGCGCCCCCCCCAGATGGGATGGGGGGGAGGCGACGACGAAGACAACGACGACGACGACGACGACGACGACGACGACGACGACGACGACGACGACGACGACGACGACGAGGACGCCGACGCCGACGCCGACGCCGACGCCGACGTAAGACGACCACGGCACCAACGCCGACGCCGACGGAAGACGACGGCGAGGACGAGGACGAACCAGCCCACATCAACAGGTGGAGTGGGGGCACCGGCACCCACCACCACGCCACGCCCACAAGGCCACGACCACAGGGGGTGTGTGGAGCGATCCCATTCGAGAGGCCTTCGCGAGGCTCACGGGCGTACCCATCCAGATCCCTCCAGCGGGGGGGGGGCTCGATCCCATATGGATTGGGGGGGACAACCCTGGATACATATATAAAGATATATGCATCTATTTAGATTTACATACATACATAAAACATATTTACATATATTCTATACAGGTTTGTGTATACAACATTTGGGCAGTCTAAGAGAGAGCCGCCATGGAGAACTCAGTCGTCACAGGCTAAGAGTTTCTCACTCCCTGCGGGAAGAGCCAGGACATGAGACGCACGTGGAATCTCCGTGTCAAACGAGGTGTTTTCGTGGGGAAGGTGGGCAGGCTTCCAGGCTGCCCTCGTCACCACGGGCGGAGATGTCTCGAAGTTCGGGGCATACTGCGCCCCAGGAGAGGTCCAGGGATCTCCCAATTTGAGATCTTCAGAGTCTTCGGGTCTTCAGGGTCTTCAGGCTCCTTTCGGGTCTTCTGGTCTTCAGGGCGTCCTTTCGGAGGTGCTTGGACGTGCCGGTGATCTCCTTTGTGAAGAGCTCGCACGTGCGGGGCGGAACGAGCGTCGGATGGGTGCGTGTTTCCCCCCTGTGGCCTCCGCATCCTCCCCGGAGGCCCCAAGGGATTGAGCAACCTCCACATCGGAGGGACACACTGTCAGGATGGATGGGCGCTGTCTTCAAATCGGGTTCGGATGATCTCCGACTCTGCAGGGCTCGGATGATCCCCTCCCCAGCGCAGATGCTGGGCCATCGGGGCTCTCGGCGCTGCCCCCCCCCCTGTCGGGCCCACCTACCCAGGGCACCAAAAGACTTCCACTTTTTCGGGCGGCCGAGCCCATCTCGGAGTGAAGCAGCTTCCAGAGTGGAGGGAAATCCCCCTCCTCCCTCCTCTCCCTCCTCCTCCATCTCCTCCTCCTCCTCCTCCTCCTCCTCCTCCTCCTCCTCCCTTCTCCTCCTCCTCCTCCCTTCTCCTCCTCTTCCTCCTCCCCCTCCTCCCTCCTCCCCCTCCTCCTCTTCCTCCTCCTCCTCCTCCTCCTCCCTCCCTCCCTCCCTCCCTCCCTCCCTCCCTCTTTCTTCCTCCACCTCCAGAATGGAGGTCCAGCCCGACAAGCTGACACCAGGACTCCGAGGATGGGGCGAGACGTGGAGAGGAGGAGGATGAGGAGGAGGAGGAGGACGAGGAGGAGAAGGAGGAGGAGGAGGAGGAGCGACACCTGTGTCGTCCGCCTCCTTCGCCCGTGCATCGCGCGATGGGGATAGCCCTCCCGAGGGGCAGCGGACTTCTCGACCTGCCGTTTTCCTGACTGTTGCGGGCGAGGAAATTCCCCCCACCGACGATGCCCTCTGGCGCCTTCTCGCGGATTTTCCGAGCTCCGAGCTCCGAGTTCCTTCCCTCCCGTTCGGCAGGCGGCCTGTCTGCCAGTGCTGCGCCACGCGATGATGCCACGTGTTTTTTCAATCCCCAGACTGCTCCGGGCGCTCCGGTGCCCTCTTGCCGGGCCCTCGCGGCCCACGCAGCGGCAAGCTTCGTGCCTCGGTGCCTGCGTTTCGGTTGGAAACAAGAAGAGAAGGGAGGCCCATGCCAAGAAACACCCTGCCTACCCCCAGGGTGCCCTGGGTTTCTTGGGTTTCGATGGTTTTGCCATGGAGCGCGTGACGTCCCACGCAAAAAAAACGATGGACGCCCTGGGGTCTCAGGGTTGGGTTTCTTGTGGAACGTTTCTGTTGGTCGAGCTCCTACTGTAGCCCTCCTGAGGGGCAGCGGATTTCTCGATCTGCCCTTCCTGATTGTTGAGGGTGGAGGTCGAGCCTCTGTGCTGGAGGTAGTCGATCCTCGTGGGCTTGCGGCGCCACAGCGGCGAAGCGCCGCCACACACCTCTGCTCCGACGGCACCGCGCGCCGCGTCTGGTGATTCCCCCTCTTAGAGGCGAGAGAGGGTGGGCAAGCGAGAAGGAGAAGGCCCTCTCAGAAGACGGCGGGACTTCTCAGAAGTCCTCGCGTCTTCTTGAGAGTTTTTTTTGTGTCCCCGGGGAACGCTCAGAAAACTTCTCAGAAGTCTGGGGGGCTTCCGAGCCTTTGAGACGGCCTTCTCCTCACATTTCCCCCCCCTCGCTCGCCGCCAACCCTCGCTTCGCGTTGTGCACGTCCGGATGTGGCGTGGCGCTGGGGGGGGTGACGGGGAGCTGTGTAAGTATACGACGAAGAATCGACTAAACGTGAGAATGACCCTTCGCCAGAGTGACCTTTGGTGCGGGCCCGTTGGGGTCCCCCGATCGCCGAACGCAATGCGATAGTAGCGTCTCGCGCGCTCGTGTTTGGCCCCCCCGCGGCCCCCCCAAAGCCGCGCACCAAAGGTCACTCTTACCCATGATCACTCTTGCGTGTAGTCGATAAGAAATATCCTGCCCCCCTGCATAGCATGGCCGAGAGATGGAGGACAATGGAGACATGGGTTCCATTGCTCTGCGGACCCGCCCTGGGCAGCGCGTCGCCTCTAGACGTGGATTCCGGGGCCTCCTGGGGCGTCTGGTGGCGTCTTCGGGGCCTCCAAGGGGGTTTCCCAGGCCGTCTTGAAGCCTCCTGTGGCCTCCTGGAGGTCTCCAGGGCCATGCTGGAGGCCTCGTGGGGCTCCTTGGGGCTCTCCTGCTCTGTCTTAGTGCCCTGTTGAGTCGTCTTGGGGTCGTCTTCGGGGCCGCCCAGGCCGTCGTCGAGCCGTCATGGGCTTGGAGACCTCTTGGGCCGTCTTGGGCTGCCGAAAGTCCGACAAGGCGAGAAACTCACAATCCTTGCAGGAAGTGGGGAATGACAAGAATTTTGGCCTCTCTTGGCTCTCTTGGGGGGTCCCCTCGGGGCCTTATTAGGCCCATTTTGGGGCCATCCTATGCCGTCCTGGGCCCGTCTTGGGCCCTGCAGGCTCCGCAGCGCGCTCCCCCTCAGGCCGCCGTGCGCGCTGCTCGGGAGAGGAGCGGGGCCGAGAGCTGCGCTCACCGGACGCGGGGCTCTACCTTTCAGTCGGGCGTGTCCTTCTGCAGGAGGAGTATTCCAAAAAAGTCCAGAACGTAGTCTGGGCACGATTCTTCCGTGATTGTTGGGCTATTCATGCATATTGCTGGAGTATTTGCTGACTACTCGGAATGGTTCTTCCAAAATTCGCTTGTAGGGGGACATGTCCGATCCAAGTCTACCTCCTCCCCCCTTTGGGGGGGGTGGCCGCCAGTCTGAGCCCCACGCCACGCCGAGGCAGAGGACCTTCGTGGACGTCCGGCTGGAGGGCGCCTTCTTCACGGCCCTGCGCTCCAGCGTGCTCTATCCCAGCGGGGCCAGCGCCCGCGTCCGCCCCCGACACCGCCGCGCCGGGGCGGGGGGTGCCGCCCAGGGACGGGGGAACGAAGAATGACACAAGCAGACAAGCTCGGCGGTCCGCTCCGATTTCTCGGATCGGCGCTGGGGCCTTCTCCCGAGGGAGCCAGCAGATCCATGCCACCGGCGAGGCTCATTCGTGGCCGCGTCCCGCCTGCGCCCCTGGGCCAGATGCGCACGACGTGGCCGGCCTGGGGCGAGAGTTGGCCGCACACGGCCGCGCGCCTTTACTAGCGCTCGGCCCTCGCGTGGACGGGTATGCGCGGGCCCTCCGCGCGTGTGTTCAGCACGCCGTTACAGCCGCAGCACGCCGCTGCGAGATCGTCACGATCTGAAGGGGCCGCCGTCCTCTTCCTCCTCCGCGGCCGCCGCCTGCCTCCTCTTTGGCCTCTCTGTGCTTACTTAACTCGTTGCTAGCAGCAGCCCTGCTCCTTCGACCGCCTCGCGCGATCGCCGAGTGCTGCGGCAAGAATGTGTGTACTCAGGAAGTGGCCTCCGCATGTCTCGCAGGTGCTTCCAGGCGTGCTGTGTTCACGACCGCGGTATCCCACAGCCCGGCCAGTGAGCCGCTGCCCCTCTCGAGGTATTATTCGAGGTGGGACGCTCGCAATCCCAGGCTTCGGCAGGCCCGTCGTGCTCAAGGGTGGGGAGCATCACTTGCCTCACGGGACAATTATGTGTGAAGCCACCGCTCGCCTCGCACATTGCCCTGGCCTTGCGCTGGAGGAGGAGGAGGAGGAAGAGGAGGAGGAAGAGGAGGAGGAGGAGGAGGAGGAGGAGGAGGAGGAGGAGAGGAGGAGAGGAGGAGGAGGAGGGGGGAGATGGAGGAGGAGGAGGAGGAGGAGGAGGAGGAGGAGGAGGAGGAGGAGGAGGAGGAGGAGGAGGAGGAGGAGGAGGAGGAGGGGGAGGGGAAGGAGGAGGGCGGGCCCGCGGGGGGCGGCCCGCGGCAGTTTGGAAGCTTGGAGGTAGGGGATCTTGGGGGCACGCGGCTGCCACGGGGCGACTTGAACAGCGCCGGCCCCGCGGCGGCGGCCTCTCCCCATGGTCCCCTCCTGCGGCCCCTGGCCCTTTGCCCGTCCCATATCATGGTGACCCGGACGGAGGCCCAGAAGAAGAGTGCGCAGCCCCCGGCGGGCGTCCAGCGCACTCCCCGCATGTCCCGCGCCATGGGGTGTCCCACGGGCGGGCTGCGAGGGGCGCTGAGTCGTTGGCAGACCGCCGGGGACAGCCTTATATATATATATATATATATATATATATATATATATATCTCTCCTTTAAGGCTCTCCCGTGTCTGCCCGGGGGGCCCGCGGCGGGTAGACAACCGCTGGCGGCATGCGGTCGAAAAGGGAGGTGGAGGTGGATTTGGAGGAGGAGGAGGAGGAGGAGGAGGAGGAGGATTTTCTCGGAGAAGGAATAACGGACACGCGCAACCTTTCGGAGCTCCGCGCGCATTCTTTGGATTGGTGGTGGACCCCCTCCCGCGTGCGCAGAGCCTGCCGGGGGCTCAAGGCTCGTGTCGATTCCTCCGATTCGAGTCGATTCGATCTCGACGGATTCCGATTCCGATTCGATTCGATTTCAGACTCCGATTCGGGATCCGACTTTTCAATGAGGCCTTATCGCTCTGCCGATTTCAGCCGATTCGACTCCTCCCAACTTGGCCGCCGATTTCCGCCGATCTGGTTCTTTTCGATCGCCGATTCGACTTTCGATTCGATTCTGGGCTCTCCTGGGGGCTGCGCCAAGGAGGTGCCGCGTCAGGGAGGCCCAGCGCTGGTCCAAGAAGCCCGCGCGGACCTCCTTAGGCGTACGTATTCGGTAGCGAATCCTGGGAGCCTTGCGTGCACTCGTAAATATGTCTTTTTGCGTCGACTAGCGTCGATTAGCGTCTGAGAGTCGATGAGATAAAGCTGATATAGCGTCGGCTAGCGTCGATGAGCGTCGATTAGCGTCGATTTAGCGTCGACTGGCGTCGATTCGCAAGAGCCGACACGATAGTATGGGAGGCTCCCATGGGCTGCCACCGAATATGTAAGCGCAGAGCCTTACAGTCCCTCCGACAGTCTATATTTGTGTGGCTCTTTCTGCTTCTGATCCCTTCGCCCTCCCTCCCTCCTCCCTCTCTTCCTCCTCCATCCAACCTCAGCCCCATTCTCCCTCTCCCCCTTCCCCCACCCACAGATCTCTGACCATCCTTTTTTTGGGTGGGTTGGGGGGGGGGTGTTCAATCGCGTCGTTTCTCCTGGACTTCGGCCTTGGGGGCCCGCCATTAGGCTTTGTGGCCATCGAACATGCGTCCTGGGCGAAAGAGCTGGCCCCAGGGAAAGGGGTCGGGACCTGGGCCGCGGATTGACGGAAGCAAATCTTGTCGGATGTTTCGGCACTCCCCTTGCCCTCCCCCTCGTGCTGCCTTACGGTAGAGGGATGGTGGTCTGACTCCCGTCCTCGTTGTGGCTGGCCTCGCAGTTCGATGTCGGGATAGCTCTCTTGAAGGGCAGCGGGGTGCCTCTTCTCCACTGTTCTCACTTCTCGCTCTTCTCATGTTGGATCGTCTTTCTTCCCCTGTTCGCCCTTCCTTGCCGGCCAGTGTCCCACCTCGCCCTTCCCCTCCCCTCCGTCCTGGAGGCCCGCCGCCTCTAACAAAACCACGGCGTCAGTCTCCGGGCCGCGGAGTACAGGCCTCGTCTGTCGAAACTTGACCCCCCGCTCTTTATCCTCCGCGGGTTTTTGGGCCCGCGTGCCGCAAGCGCACTCCTGGGCTGCCGTGCGCTACGCGCACAGGACCGTGGCCCTACCGCGCGCTGCGTCCTCCGTCCTCTGCCCTCCATTCTCCCATCTCCGTGAGCATCCCCATCATCACGTGTGATCGATCGCCGTCTTAATTATCATCATCATCAGCATCATCATCGTCATCATCATCACCATCACCATCACCATCATCATCATCATCATCATCATCATCATCATCATCATCATCATCATCATCATCGTCACCGTCATCGTCATCGTCATCGTCATCGTCATCATCATCATCGTCGTCGGCGTCGTCACCATCATCGTCATCATTCTCCTCATCCTCATCCTCCTCCTCATGACCATCATCATCATCATCATCATCATCATCATCATCATCATAATCTGCATCTTCACCATTATCATCACCATAACCATCATCATCGTCCTCGTCCTCGTCCTCGTCATCGTCATCGTCGCTTTATCACCATCAACAACATCATCAGCATAATCATCGTAATCATCAACACCATCATCACCATCATCACCACCATCATTATTATGGCCATCCCATCGTCACCACCAACATCATCACCACCACGTCATTATCGCCATCGTTATTACCACCACCACCACAATCATCATCATCATCATCATCATCAGCAGCAGCAGCAGCAGCATCATCATCATCATCATCATCATCATCATCATCATCATCATCATCATCATCATCATCATCATCATCATCTTCATCTTCATCGTCATCTTCATCTTCATCTTCATCTTCATCATCATCATCATCATCATCATCATCATCATCATCATCATCACCGCTCGCGCCGTGACGCGAGGTTTTTGGCCTTCAGAGGAGCAATAAGTAGTGCTGATGATGGTGCGATACATGAGTTCCAAAGCTCCCAATACTCTGAGGAGCCACAAGACGTCAGCGTGATGCGAACCATGTGATGATGCGATCCATGGTTTTCGCGCGGGCTTCAGAAACCGTGACCGCCAGCTGCCCTGGGGCTCCTGAAACTCATCCGTGCCGATCGCATCGTGGCATCATTCTCGCCCTAGCGATGGCGGCGGCCGCGGCCAGGCCGCCGCCTGTGTCGTCGTCGTTGTCGTCGTCGTCGTCGTCGTCGTCGTCGTCGTCGTCGTCGTCATCGTCGTCGTCGTCGTGGTCGTCGTCGTGGTCGTCGTCGTCGTCGCCGTCGCCGTCGCCGTTGCCGTCGCCGTCGCCGTTGTCGTCGTCGTAGTCGTCGTCGTAGTCGTCGTTGTCGTCGTCGTCGTCGTCGCCGTCGCCGTCGTCGTCGTGGTCGTCGTCTTCGCGGTCGTCGTCTTTGCCGTCGTGGTCGTGGTCTTCGTCGTCGTGGTCGTCGTCGTCGTGGTCGTCGTCGTCGTCGTCGTAGTCGTCGTCGTCGTCGTGGTGGTGGTGGTGGTGGTCGTCGTCGTCGTCATCGTCGAGGCCCCGCGCAGCCAGGGGCCCCCAGTGGAGGGGGGGGCCGTGCGGGCCTACTGACGGCGCTGCCGCTTCTCTGGCCGGGCACGCGGGATCTCTTCTTCCCCAATTTCTGGAGCCGCCGGCCTTGTCTCGGGCAGGGAGGGACCCAGATCTCCGACCTTCTTCGGCCACGCGCAGAGGGGGGGTTGGGGGCAGGGGGAAGGCTTCTTAGGAGCACCCCTGCTTCGTAGAAGGCGCAGGGGTTATCTGCAGATGTAGGGCCAGCGCCTTCTAAGAAGCAGCTTCCTTCTAAGAAGGCTTCCCCCGTCCCCCTGCCCCCGCTGTGCGCGCCGCCAAGTTCTACTTTTTTCAGTCTGAGCGGCCTCTGGCCCCGTGAATCTGGCCCTGGGGCCATCAGACATGGATCCAGACGAAGAGCCACCCCCGCGGAGGGGATCTGAAGCTCTGGGGGCCCCAGGCTGGAAACATCGAGCAATCGAAGATCCGGGGGCGGAGAGGGATGGGACCAGGGAGTTGCAGTGGGAGAGGGAGGCGGAGAGTGCGACGGGGAGAAGGGGCTGCCTGCTTCTCCTCCTCTCGCCTCCTCCTCCTTCCAAAGTATCCTCTCCCCTCCTCCCTCGTCCTCGTCCTCGTCGCATTTGCACTGGGATGCTTGCACCGTTGATAGCTCAGTTTCAGTTTCGGCCTCCTCCTCCTTCTCGACCTCCTCCTCCTCCTCCTGTGCAGGCTGCCTGGTCCAAGTGCCAGGTGTCGTGGTCGTTTCCTCTGGTTGGTGCACGTCTCACCGCATTCTCCGTGCTGGCGGCCGCGAACGATGTATATTCGGGTGTGCTGGGCCTGACCGTTTTCAGCATTACTCATTCTGCAGGCGCTTGAAAGCTGCAGTGGAAGAGGCGCTCAACGTACGTGTGCCGCCGCGGCTATTCGTGAAATGGGACTCGAGCAAGCCTTCAGTCGAGGCGGTCCAATCTTTTATGACTTCGCAGCACGCTTACCACAATTGTGTTCGCGAATGCCGGCCTGTCCGTCATCATGTAGCTGTCGCCCACGTCCTCGCTGCGTACCTGGCCCTGACGCTTGCGAAGCCTCTGGCTCGTTCTCTTCCGGGCGCTCCCGTGGGCTCTCCCTTGCATCCGGCGCATCGTGCTGCTGGTCTTCTGCTATTTTGTCCTCCGACAGACACTTCGGGTCTTGCTGGTGGCGGCTCTCATCCAGGAGCCCTGCCAGCGGCATCTGGGCCACCGTGCCCAAGCACGCCGCGTGCGACCCTGCTTTGGTCACCGTGCTCCAGTCCGAGGCCGATGATACCTTCCCCTCCTGCTGCGAGCCCATGCAATGCGACACCGTCCACGTTGATTGCCTCGCCGGCGAGCTGCTGGTCTGCGCCACAGTCCTTCTCATCACGTCCTGCGGCGCATCGACCAGCGCCGGAGAGGAAAGCGCAGAGACCATGGATAGAAGCATTGTGGAAGGTGACGCAGATCCATTGGACAGGAAACCGGCGACACCTTACACCTTGCTGCCGCGCCGCCGCGAACGGTGAGTGAATTTGCCCTCCTTGAAGAGGATGCCGTCGATCTTCCCCGGTACGCTTCTTCACGGTCGTCTTCGGCTCCTTCTGCGGTCGAGTCGGCTCCTGGGGTAGAGACTGAACTGTAGACGGCCCTTGCCTGCAAGGGCATTCCTTCTCTGACGTCGAGGACTACGGTATCGGCGTGCCGTCCCCCCTGGCATGAGGCCTGCCGCGAGCTAGGCATGCGAAGGACATGCTGTTGATCTACGCTGTGCCTCCTCTTCTTCTTCCTCCTCCTCCTCCTCCTCCTTCCCCTCCTCCTCCTCCTCCTTCTTTCCTCGACCTCGTCCTTGTCCCACCCCCTGCCGCCCTCCCTCCTCCCCCCCCCTCCCTCTCCTGCACCCCTCCTCCTCCTTGCAGCAAGAAGGAGGGGGGCAGGCACGGGGCTCGGCCGCCCGTGTGCGCAGCCCCCCCCCCGAAGCCCAGGAGCAGCTACCACTGGCTGCCCTTCTGGTACAGCTTCGTCATCCAGCAGCGCTTCGGGGAGACGGTCCGCCGCGCTCCTCGCCCGCCCGCCGCGGCCGCCGGGCTCCGCGAAGACCCGTGCTTCTGTTCAGATCGCGGCCTGTGTCGCCCTCCTCGACTTGATCCTCCTCCTCCTCCTCCTCCTCCTCCTCCTCCTCGCCCAGTCTGGCCCGCCTCCATCCGTTTCCCCCTCCTCCCCCCGCCTCATCCGTTTGGACCTCCTGGGGCCGCTGTCGGCCCCAGGACCATCCCGGAGGGATCCCAGGCGAAAGAGTGGCTCGGGGGGACATGGCTGGGACCTCCTATGGGGCCGCGCACCGACAAGAGCACATCGTCGGAGGGCAGGGCCAGGGGATCGAGAGCGTCAGATTCGAAGGCTCGCCTTCCCTCCCAGAGGCTTTTCCTCCCCGTCCTCCTCCCCGTGGCTCCTCCGGTCGGCTGGCCCTCCTCGTCCTCCTCCTCCTCCTCGTCCTCCCCCTCCTCCTCCTCCTCCTCCTCCTCCTCCTCCTCCTCCTCCTCCTCCTCCTCCTCCTCTTCATCCACTCTTTTACTTGTTTGTTTTGCTTTTTCTCACTCTGGGGGTTGCCTTACCTCAGAACGGAGGTTCGACCTCCCTTCTGGAGTGCTGTCGCTCCCCTCGCGGTACTTTCCTCCCTCCAGCACGGAGGCTCTCGACCTCCGTCCCGGAGGCCCTGCCCTCCCCCCAATCCTCGAGGCGTTCCCTCCTTCCAGAGCGGGGCTCGGCCCTCCGTTCCGAAAGCTCTGCCCCCTCGATCCTGGAGGCTTTTCCGGGGGCGAGGCTGCCCCCCCCCCCCCCCCTCCCCCCCCCCCCCCCTCCCCGCCCCCCAAGTCCCTTACGGCTTTCTCTCCCTTCCGGACGGAGGCTCTGTCCCCGATCCTCCAGGGGGCTCTTCGCCGCCGCTCTCCGACGGCCGGGAGGACGGCGGCGGCCTCGGGGGGGGGGGGAAAGGGGAGGGGAAGGAAGGCGAGGAGGGGACGAGGGGGGCGCGAGGAGGGGAAGGGGGGCGAGGGGGGCGAGAGGGGGGGGCGAAGGGGGGGGAGGAGGAGGAGGAGGAGGAGGAGGAGGAGGAGGAGGAGGAGGAGGAGAAGGAGGAGGAGGCGGAGGAGGAGGAGGAGGAGGAGGAGGAGGAGGAGGGGGAAAAAAGAGAGGAGGATCCGGGTATCGATGATGTTAAGGCAGCTGCTGCTGCTGCTGCTGCTGCTGCTGATGATGATGATGATGGTGATGATGATGATGATGATGATGATGATGATGATGATGATGATTATGCTGCTGCTGATGATGGTGGTGATGATGATGGTAGTGGTGATGGTGGTGGTGATGATGATGACGACGATGACGATGATGATGATGCTGCTGATGATGACGATGGAGATGATGATGGAGATGATGATGATGATGATGATGATGATGATGATGATGATGATGAAAATTATGCTGCTGCCGACGACGGTGATAGCGATGATGATGACGATATTGATGTTGATGGTGAAGATGACAATGATGCTGCTGCTGATAATGCTGATCGTTTTGATTCTGACGATGGTGATGATGATGATTATGATGACGATGAAGAGGAGATGGTGATACAGATGGGAGTAATAAATATGATGATCATGATGCTGATGATGATGCTGATGATGACAATAATCATGATGATGCTGGTGATGATGCTGATGATGCCGATAACGATGACGAAGCTGATGATGACGATGATGATGGTCATGCTGACGATTCTGATGTTGTTGATGACGACTGCGACGACGACGACGACGATGATGATGCTGATTATGCTGCTGCTGAAGATGATGCTAATGTTGATGATGAGTTCGATGATTCTAGTGTGACGCTGCTGATGATGCTGCTGCTGATGATGCTGATCATGATGATGCTGATGCTGATGCTGATGCCGATTCAGATCCATGCTGATGATGGTGATGATGCTGGCCATGCTGATGATGAGTATGGTGTTGTTGATGACGGAGATGATGTCGCTGCTGCTTATGATGACGATGATGATGTTGATGCTGCTGATGATGATGCTGATGATGATGCTGATGACGATGCTGATGTTGATGATTCTGATGCTGATGATGGTGTTGCTGCTGATGATGATGGTATGGTGATGATGGTGATGGTGGTGAGTATGGTGATGGTGACGATGATGATGGTGATGATGATGATGATGCTGATGATGATGATGATGATGATGGTGCTAATGATGATGCTGATGATGCTGATACTGATGATGATGATGATGATGGTGGCTATGATGATGATGGTGATGCTACTGACAATGCTGATGCTGATGATGCTGCTGATGATGACGTGATGCTGATGATGATGATGATGATGCTGATGATGAGGATGATGATGATGATGACGATGAGGATGCTGATTATGGTGGTGGTGGTGATGCTGCTGATGACGAAGATGGTGCTGACGATGATGACGATGGTTTTGCAGATATTGTGGATGATGACGTTGTTGATGCTGACGGTGACGATGTTGGTGACGATCATGGTGACAATGCAAGTGTGGATTAGGACAGGGACGAGTATGGAGGTGGTAACGGGGATGGGGATGGTCATGACAATCGGAGAAGGCAGACGAAGGATGAGGTCAATGATAATGCGGATATGATGCTGACGGTGACAGGTGATGACAGTAGGAGAAGGCAGATGGTGATACGGAGGGAAGGAGCAGTAACATATGTGTCCCAGTTAAAGGGGATATTCGATGTTCCATACTGTTAGGTGTCGCGTGCGACGCGATGCACATCAAGCCAGCCGTCCACGTGATAGTTGGCGTGGCACCATGCGTCACTCGCTGCACGGGCTTGCCTGTTCGATCGAGTCCCCGAGGGGTGTGCCCACGAGGTGAAGTCAGGCCGACCTGCGAGGATACGCAGGCGAAAAAGAGGAGGAGGAGAAGGAGGAGGAGGAGAAGGAGGAGAAGGAGGAGGAGGAGGAGAGGCTGATGGGGGGTTGGCAGGATGGGCGAGACGACGGATGAGGAGGAGGAGGAGGACGAGGAGGAGGAGGAGGACGAGGAGAAGGAGGAGGAGGAGGAGCAGAAGGAACATGAGGAGGAAGAAGAAACACATATAGGGATGAATGGCCGAGCAGGGATGCCAAGCAACATGGCGATGCCGCTTCTGCTGGTGATCATAATGACGATGTGAATGATGATGCTGATGCTACAAGTGATGATGATGCTGCTGATGATGATGATGATGCTGCTAATGATGATGATGATGATGATGATGATGATGATGATGATGATGATGCTGATTCTGATTATGATGAGGATGGCGATGTTTACGATGATGCTGCTGATGATGATGGTGCTGATGCGGATGGTGATGCTGCTGATGATGCTGATGCTGCTTAGGATGATTTATGATGATGCTGATGATGGTGCTGATTTTCTAGCCACTATTGATGCCGGTGGTGATGCTGATGATGACGATGATGGCGATGCTGATGCTGACGATGCTGATGATGACGATGATGAGGATGATGATAGTGTTTGTGATGATGCTGGTGATGATGGTGATGCTAATGTTGATGATAAAGATGATGTTGATGATACTGCTGCTGATAATGATGATGATGGTCGCTTCTGGTGATGCTGCTGCTGATAATGAGGATGATGCCAAGCAACATGGGGATGCCGCTTCTGCTGGTCATCATAATGACGATGTGAATGATGATGCCGATGCTACCATTGATGATGATGCTGATGGTGATGCTGATGATGGTAATGATGATGATGATGATGGTGCTGATGGTGGTGATGATGATGCTGATGAAGGTGGTGCTGTTGATGATGAGGGTTATGATGTTGATGTTGATGATCATGATGATGACGATGATGACGATGATGATGATGCTGCTGCTGCTGATGATGATGATGATGATGATGATGATGATGATGATGATACTGACGATGCTGATCATGGTATGACTATGCTGCTGCTGATGATGATTAGGATGCTGATGACGTTGACGACGACGATGATGATGATGATGATGATGATGATGATGATGATGATGATGATGATGAGGAGGAGGAGGAGGATGAGGAGGAGGAGGAGGCGGAGCAGTAACATAATGATACTAGAGGGACCATTCTATATATGACCAGGGACATGATGAGCAGGCAGAAGAGGAGGATGATGATGATGAGGAGCAGGAGGAGAACGGAGGAAACAGGACAGAGGTGGAGGATGCGATGCTGATGCTGCTAATGATGAGTATGATGAGTAGGAGTAGCCTACTCCGAGGAGAAGGAGGACAATGAGGAGGATGAGGAGGAGGAGGAGGGAACAGTGAGAAATGATAAGGAAGGAACGGGAGAACATGAGGAGGAGGAGGATGAGGAGGGGGGAGGAGGAGGAGGAGGAGGAGGGAGGAGGAGGAGGAGGAGGAGGAGGAGGAGGAGGAGCATGAGAGGAGGAGGAGGAGGAGGAGGAGGGGAGGACGAGAGGAGAAGGAGGAGGAGGAGGAGAGGAGGAGGAGGAGGAGGAGTGAGGACGAGGAGGGAGTAGGAGGAGGAGGAGGGAACACTGAGAAACGAGAAGAAAGGAACGAGAGAACATGAGGATGAGGAAGGGGGAGTAGGAGGAGGATAGTTGGAGCTCCCCGAGGGGCACGATCCGTGTGCGCGACTTGACAAAGTGGGCGAGGCTGCGGCATAGGAGCGTGCCCGTTGGGGCCTTAATTTGAGTTCTCAATGGGGCACGCTCTGTGTTGATCTCTGTGCCGAAGTTAGCAAGGTTGCGGCATGGGATCGTGCCTAGTGGGGCCGTATTGGAGCCGTTTGTGGGGTGCACGATCCGTGTTGAGCTTTGTTTCCATATTTGCGAGGCTGTGGCACTGGAGCGGTGTAGCTTCCTATAAGGTACGATCCGTGTGCGCGGCGTGGCAAAGTGGGCGAGGCTTTGTTATAGGAGCGCACCTAGGAACGTGCCCACTGGTGTCGTAGTTGGAGCTTTCTATGGAGCACGATCCGTATTGAGGTGTGTGTGTGTGTGTGTGTGAGCCGAAGTTGGCGAAGCGTCGCTGTAGGAACGTGTCACTGGGGCCGTGGTTGGAGCTTCCCATGGGGTCTGCTGCGCGTTGAGTTCTGCGTCCGAAGTGCGAACGTGTTCACTGGTGCCACACGTGGAACTCCCTACTGGGTACGCTCCGTCTGAGTGGCGTGTCCATACGGACATGTGAGCAGCACGGGCACCAACAACAGCAGAGGCTGACAGCGCAGTAACAGCGGCCGCAGCGGCTAGCACTGGCAGCAGCATCGGCAGAGCAGAAGCAGCACGCAACAGGCAGTGCAGCTGCACCGACAGGAAGGGGAGGAGGGGTTGGGAGAGGACGCGCGGAGTGGCGATGGTTGGGAACACACATTCTACTGCACTCCTGCTGCGCACACAACGCACTGCCCGAAGCTGCTGTACACTCAACGGCCCAGACCGCAGGCGACTCGGTTTGCGAGTCGCTGGCCCCTGGAGCTCTTGACCCCTTCGTCGGTGTCGCTTTTTCATCCTGGGTCGTGCTGCGACGGGGAAGCAGTTTTGTCAAGCTGCCATACAGAGGTCAAGGCCTCCAGAGGTCTGGAGGTCTCTGGAGATCCCTACAGGTCCCTATCGAGGTCTCCCGGGGACACCAGAGGATCCGGGGGGTCTCAGAAAGCATTTGGAGGCGTAAGAGGGGCCAGAAACATCCACGCAACTCGATCCTCCTCCTCCGCCTCCTCCTCCTCTTCCTCCTCCTCCTCCTCCTCCTCCTCCTCCTCCTCCTCCTCCTCTCCCTCCTCCCTCCTCCTCCTTTTCCTCCTCCTCCTCCTCCTCCTTCTCCTCCTCCTCCTCCTCCTCCTCCTCCTCCTCCTCCTCCTCCTCCTCCTCCTCCTCCCCCGTCTTCTCGTCCTCCGTGGCTACAGGTCCCCCAAGTTGTGACCGCCAGTCCACCGGCGCCCCCTCATGCAGAGGGGCTCCCAGGCACCGCATCGCAGGAAGGGAGAGCCACAGGCCCCTCTCCAACACAGGGGCCCGCCACCCGTGGGGCCGTGTGTGCCGACAGCACCGTTCAAGTCGACAGCATGCGTCCGCCCACTGTCGGCCACGCGCACAAGGGGGCTAGGGAGGGGGGGGAAAGCTTCTTAGAAGCACCCTGCCTCATCCACAGATGTAGTGCCGGCGCCCTCTAAACAGCAGCCTCCTTCTAAGAGGCCTTCCCCCCTCCCCCCACCCCCCTTGTGCGCGCCGCCAACACTGGACGTCGGCAGCATACAAGCCGACATCGTCGAAGGCGGCTTAGAGCACGTAGGCCGTCGGCCTGTTGGTCGACGGCGCCTGCGTAAGTCGGAAGCGTTCGTGTAAGGCTCTCGTCGCCGCAGGTGTTCGCCTGCTGGAACGCGGCGTTCGGCTCGACGCTCGGCGTGGCGGGGTCCGTGCTCCTCAACTACCTCATGCCCGGGGGTGCTGGTCCGCTGTCCCAAGGCCTCGCCCCGTCGTCGTCGTCGTCGTCGTCGCCGTCGTCGTCGTCGTCGTCGTCGTCGTCGTCGTCGTGGTGGTCGTCGTCAACGTCGTCGTGGTCGTTGTCGTCGTCGTCGTCGTCGTCGTCGTCGTCGTCGTCGTCCTTTGTCCTTCGTCCTTCGTCCTTCGTGCTTCGTCCTTCGTCCTTCGTGCTTCGTCCTTCGTCCTTCGTCCTTTGTCTCTTGTCCTTTGTCCTTCGTCCTTACGTAATCCTTAGTCTTCGTCCTTCGTCCTTCGTCCTTCGTCGTCGTCGTCGTCCTCCTCCTCCTCCTTTTCCTCCTCCTCCTCCTCCTCGATAGTGATCCCTCATCGCTACGGCTGGATTCGCCTCGAGATCCTGGTCAGAATGCGCTTCTGGAGAGGGCCTGGGGCCGATGTGGGGAGATGGGAGATGGTGGAGGAGGAGGGGGGCTATTAGGATGAGGATGAGGATGAGGATGACGATTAGGAGGAGGAGGAGGAGAAGTACGAGGAGGAGGAACAGCAGCAGCAGCAGAAGGAGGGGGAGGAGGAGGAGGAGGAGGAGGAGGAGGAAGCGTAGGAGGAGGAGGAGGAGGTGGAAGAGGAGGAGGAGGAAGCGGAGGCAGAAGAGGAGGGGGATGATGATGATGATGATGATGATGATGATGATGATGATGATGATGATGATGATGATGATGATGATGAGGAGGAGGAGGAGGAGGAGGAGGATGATGATGATGAGGATGATGATGGTGGTGATGATGATGCTGATGCTGATGATGATGATGCTGATAATGAGCATGCTGATGATGATGACGATGATGACGATGATGACGACGACGATGATGATGACGATGATCATGACGACGATACTAATAATGCTGATGATGATGCTGCTGATGCTGACTATGATGCTGA